TCATTCACATGAATAGTTGTGACAGAGGGTTAACCTTTCCCCATTCAGAAATGTTTGTCAGGATAAATAACGTATTCACTAACAGTTCACTAAAATTCAAATGTATATATGAACTCTGTAATTACGTAACGTACAGAGGACAGAAGATGATCCTACTTATACCTCTGTTAAAAGACCAATAAGAACTACTGGAAATTTAGTAAATTGACATACATGTGTAACTTTACAATATGGAAGAACAGCCACGCGCCCAGTAAAACAGTGCTATGGAGCAGACAGGTATGGGCAAGGCAAGAGGTGCTCCTCCATCCATCTGGCCTTCCCTCCCATCTCACATACGTGGCACTCACAAAACAGACCATGTCTCAAAATCTAAGATTAAATGCTACATCGTTTTGGTTCTTTTCTGATGATGTTTTAAAAAAAAGAAATAAATAAGATTAACAAAATGACTTAATTAAATCTGTCATGGGCAACCCTATTAATGGATCTTCATAGAAAGGAGAAGCAAATTAAACCTGAGCAAGGGAACACAATGATTTCTGGTGAGAAAACAGCATGGACCTTAGGAGTCAAATAAATAAGATGTAGAAATAAACAGAAAACATTCTCTATGACATAATGTCCTCTGCAAAGCAAACAGCTGGGACTCGTCCTGGATTAACGTATCCATTAGCTGGACAAGAATATTTATTATTCAAGGTGTTTAGTCAAATAATCAGGTAACTCTCAAAACAGACACCGCTGCAGAGTACTCAATGTAGAGAAGTCTGCAAAAGTGGACATTTGCTACGTCTGTGATCTTAGCGGAGAGAAGCACTACTGTCACAAGAACATACTCACTTGACTTCACAGGAGTGGACACTTAACTCCTTGTGCAGCAGCCCGCTGGTGAGATGGTACACCAGGACAGAGCCGTTACTTGTGCCTGTCAAAAAGATGCAACAGAAGAGTGTCAACTGAGCGGGGCTCCATATCTTTAAAAAAAAGAAAACTTTCTCAAGATTTTAATCATTTTATATTATTTATCTTTTATAAGAGGGACCTGAGTTATGTGTTTTAAAAAAAAAAGTGAATTTCTCTGACCTTCCCCTTATCAAAACTGGGCCTAAATGCAGGTGCTCTGTAATTGTACCTAACTCCAGGAATAAACTGTCACAGAGAGTCTTCACAACCTAACTCAATACACATAAAATTTGAAGAAACACTTTCCCAAAGTTTCCACACCTGGGAGTTGATACTTTTTGAGATTCAGACTGTTTACCACAGTTAGCCCTCAAAAAGGCAATCTAGCAGAGCTCATTAACCAAATTTTCCTATTTTTCTTTACAAGGTTTTTGTATTTTGTTTTGTCTTTTATATTAAATAAATCATGTGGAGATAATAAATTATGGTGGTTAACTGTAGATTTTACAGTTAAGAGACCTGGGTCCAAGCCCTGGCTTTGCCCTATACTCTTGGGTAAATTACTTGCCCAACTAAATCTCTGTTTCTGTCTCTTTAATATGGAAAGAATACAAAATCTACTTATTCGAGATTACATTAGAAAACATATGTAAAGCACTCAGGACAGCACCTGATACACAGTAAGCACTTAATTAACTTCTATTTCTGTTATCACTGAAATTATTTTGTAGGTATTATCATATCTACAGGTCTCAGGTAGTGTGTCTAAAATTTAATTAAAAGGGACATGGGCATACTTGAGAAAGTAAAGTTTCAGTCCTTTACAATGTTTTCATAAGTAAAGCAAGAAAAGTGAATGGTGTAATTGTTCGGGCAATCACTTTCTCATTGCACATGATTTAAAAGGATTAATGGACTCCTACAAAGCAACAGAATGGAAGTAAAATGCTAGACAAATTCCAATTTTAGCATACCTGCTGAGTAAATCTCCAGAAAACTTTTTCAAAAACATTCCAGGAAAACACAGTATTATACTTGTTTATGTTTATCATTTATTCCATAACACCTCTGGTACGGAAAAAGTAGCTGAAGAATTATTAAAATTTTTAAATTAACAGATCTTTATAATCATCCAATGATTTTTACATTCTGCGAGTTTTAATGATGTTGAGACTATGATCTAACACGCTAGGGTTACCACAAAGACAAGTAATTTCATAGATTAACTCTGCTTCTCTTCCCTAGTGACTCTGCAAAACGAATTTAGAGACTTAGATCTTTTACTTTTACTGTTACTACAATTCAATAAATTCAACACATGATTTGATATTCACTGTATACTAGACAATTGGATATTTTCAATCACCTGGTATATAGTGAATCCAAACCATGTACTGAATTTATTGAATTGTAATAACAAAGTAAAAGATGTAAGTCTCTAAATTTTCAACTGCCTCATGTGCATGCGAAAGCTGGACAATGAATAAGGAAGAACAAAGAAGAATTGATGCCTTTGCATAATGGTGTTGGTGAAAAATATTGACTATACTGTGGACTCCCAGAAGAACAAACAAATATGTCCTGGAAGAAGTATGGTCAGAATGCTCCTTAGAAGCATGGATGGCAAGACTTTGTCTCATTTACTTTGGACATGTTGTCAGGAGGGATCAGTCCGTGGAGAAGGACATCATGCTTGGTGAAGTAGAGGGTCAGTGAAAAAGAGGAAGACCCTGAACGAGATGAACCGACAAAGTGGCTGCAACAATGGGCTCAAGCATAACAACGATTGTGAGGATGGCGCAGGACCAGGCAATGTTTCCTTCTGTTGTACACAGGGTCGCTATGAGTCGGGACCGACTCAATGGCACCTGACAACAACAACAACATATACCAGGAGCCCTCGTGGCATAACGGTTAAGCTCTTGGCTGCGAACCAAAAGGCTGGTGGTTCAAATCCACCCGGAAGCTCCGAGAGAGAAAAGACCTGGTGATCTGCTCCCATAAAGATTACAGCCTAGAAAATCGTATGTGGCAGTTCTACTCTATCACATGGGATCACTACGAGTCAGAAAAGAATCAACGGTACCTAACAACAACTTACACCAGTACAAGACAGCTTATTCTACAACGGAAATTTCAGACCTTGACGAAGCTTTTACTATATCGCCATATATAATGTACACTGGAGACCTGGTGGTGCAATGGTTAAGAGCTTGGCTGCTAATCAAAAGGTCAGCAGTTTGAATTCACCAGCCATTCCTTGGAAACCCTATGGGGCAGTTCTACTCTGTCCTATACAGATGCTGTAAGCTGGAATTGACTCGACAGCAATGGGTTTGTTTTTTTTTTTTAGTTTTATAATGTACGTTATATATGTACATACACACACACACACACACACACACACACACAAATGCACATTGATCAATCCTAATTAAAGCCTCCAAAAGAGGTTAAATATGAATCAAGTTTCTAAAGAAAAAATTGAACATTTATCTACATTTATATTAATCTGGGCCCTGGTACCACTCAACCTTAAAATTCAAATCACTTTCAGAAGAAGGCAATGGGAAAATAAGAGAACTGCCAAGTATTAACACCCAAATGAGTCTTTAGTACTCGACAATCAGCCATTAAACTAACAGAGACATATTGGCCACAAAATGTGGTCAGGTTTTCTTTTTTTCAAAAAAAAAAGACAGAAATCATAAATCATATGGCCAGAAGCCAACCAACAGCATCGTAAGAAGAAATTTGAAATGGTCAAACGAGTAGACTATTTTTCAAAAATACTGGAGAATCTGTTTTAATCTTAGGTTTAACTTTACTATAAAATTAATGTGGCAGCAAGTTGAAACCAGACTAAGTTTTCTATCTATAACATAAAAAATATGCAATTTCAGCCCAAAAGACAAATCTTAGTTTGTAGAGACTATAGCTCCTTTAAACAATGTTAATGATACAATTCTTAGAAAATGAAGAACACTGCTGCCGTAACTATTAACTATGACTACATTATTAGTTAACAAAGACCCAATACTAAATGACATCAACAGGAAACAACTGGGGTTATCCGAGAAAAGACTAGGTCTAGGATTCAGCATCACACAGAAATGGCCCTCCTGAAACTTCGGAAACACAGAGCAATAGTGTCAGGGACACTATCCTCCGGTCGCAGGCCGATGAGCTATTTTGTGATTGAAAATAAACAAAAAGACAGGTGGGTGAAAAGGACAGAAAAAATAAACACAAAGAAGAGAAATTATATTTGACGAATAATATTTTGTACTTAACCTCTTCAAGCATTCTCAAATAAGGATTTTCTAGCAACTAAAAAAAAAAAAAACAAACCTGTTGCCATCAAGTTGATTCTGACTCATGGTGACCTCATGTATGTTTTACAAAGTAGAACTGAGCTCCATAGGGTTGTCTTGGCTGGAATCTTTATGGAAATAGATCGCCAGGCCTTTCTTCCACAGTGCTGCTGGGTGTTCTAGTAACTAGGGAACCTAAATGACTTATAAAGTATAAGACAGGCATGAAGAATTACGAGAACAGGTCAAATACTCACCAACAGCAAGCAGGGGCTGATACATGTGGATGTTTTTTGTGGTCAGTGGTGGGCACATACGGACAGCAAACGGTGGTGGGGGCAGTCCTGACAGCAGTCCTGTCAGCAGGAACTTGAGGTGCACTTCCTGCAAAATGGAGCCTTTGGGATGTTCTTCTCCAGCAATTGCACTTTGCCCTGATTTTTAATAAAAAATACAGTAAACTAATTGTACCATATGCTGACCTCAAAAATCTAAAGAAACTTTTCAGAGGAAATACTCTTTAGGTGTAGAAAAAAAGTATAATGTAGCATACAAGGGGCTGTAGCCATTAGGGCCACAATGGCTCTGTACTTGGCAATGGGACTTCAGTCACATTTTCTAATACCTTAAAGACAGCTTACTCCAGAGTAGTGCTATCTAGACTTCACAGACCTATGTCTACTAGGAAAGAATGTTTTAGCTGAAGTTCCTTGTGGAAACCCTGGTGGCACAGTAGTTAAGAGCTACGGCTGCTAGCCAAAAGGTCAGCAGTTCAAATCCACCAGGTGCTCCTTGGAAACTCTGTGGGCAGTTCTAGCCTGTCCTATAGGCTTCAGAACAAATCAAGAGGATTTGGACTAGAGAACAGTTTCTGTGCAGCAGAATACTGCTGCAACACATTTCTGCTTTAGTGCATTTCTAGAGGGTTACTTTTCTAACTGATGGACTGTGTAAACTGCACGTAAAATTAGTAACGACAAATAGTACGTTCAAAGAACTCATTTACAGTTTCTAATACAAAATCTTAATGTGTTGATGTAATTACAAAATTTAAGCTTTACAATTAAATACTTCACATATATAAAATAATAAATATACAAATATGAATAAGCACAATATAAACTGTTACTGTCGACAGTTAAGAGGTATTATTTTCAAATACTTAGATTATCGAGTCTTAAACTGAAAAGATGACTCCAATAAAAACTCTAACACAATGTGAAAATGAAGAGTACAACAAAATTAAGACTGTTAACTAAAAAAGCTATACAAATTGTCTTCCTATAAACCACTATCAAATACTGAGATTAACTTGTCAAAAACACGTAAGAATATGTGAGTGTGTATATATGTATATGCATACATACACAAAGCCATATACACACACATATTTACACTGTGAAAGGGAAAACGTAAATAATTATTAAGAGTGGGTGATGGAATTATGAATATAACTTTTTGAAGTTGTAAAGTTGTTTTAATAAAAATATTTTTGTGAAATCTATAAGCTATATATCATATTTTTACACAAATAACGTGCACCTTCTACATGTGTTTGCCAATCACTCCCTCCACCAGTGAGATATTTTTGTAAGCATGGTATGCCAATTTTTTTTAATAGCACCATGTGAAAAAAAATTGGCATAGTGGTACTTTTGAAAATACCTCGAGGGAAGAAGGAGCGGGTGGCAAACAAATGTAGAAGGCAGGATTTGCATAAAATACGGTAGAAAAAGTGGTCATTAATTTAAAATGCAATTAAAATGATCCCTTAAGATTAGCCATACAATTTGATACCAATCTTTCTGCTTAAATTTGATGTCAAAAATGGGATTTAAAGGAATGGGAAGTTTAACAGGTAGGCACCATGTATAACAACCCTATTAGCTTGGAGTTGACTCCTGGAGATGGCCACATTTTCCTTCAAGCATTTCCCATAAGAGGCAATTCACAAAGTAAGACACGTTAGGCCTTTACCTAATAAGCAGCAGCCTTTACCCAGTGTATATAAATAAGGCGTCTGTATTTAAATGAATTGTTTTCAATTATCACTAAGCACATACGGAATTTCAAATTAAAAGTTTTAATTAAAATGTTTTCAAGTAACAAAGCTTTATTAAATACTTTTAAATCTACGTTGTCGAGAACTGCTATACAATCTGTACCATTTTGTCTCTTAAAGAATGTAATTTATATCTCTTACAGTATACAATTTCAACCTCTTATGGGCTTCATATTACTGATTAGTTCTGCATGTGTGTTTATAATTCTTTTCACTTTAATGTTTTATATTAAGTATAGACAAGGTCAAGTAACTCAGAAAATTGTGTTATCGATAGAACGAATTTTACAAAACAAGTATGAGTCTAAACTTCCTCATATAGATTTCCTTCTGGAGGGTAACTAGAAAGAATTTTAAATGGACAAGTTAGTGTCATGGAATAAAAGGATTTCACAGTTGGCAGGAACCATGAGAAAACGGAGGCCTGGAGAGGTCTGGATCTTGCCCAGGATGGCAGAGGAGCAGCCAGGGCACGAAGTCACCCCATGTCTAAGGGCCCGGGCTCCAGAGCCAGGATGATGGTTCGCATTTTGGCTCTTCCACTTACTGGCTGTGTTACTCTGGGCCTCAGTTTCCACATCAATAAAATGGAGATAATAATATTACCTAACTAGCGGGACTGTGTTGAGGAAACACATGGAGGGTTAGGCCTAGCATTTAACATAGTATTAAGCACTCAATAAATGTCAACTCTGATTAAGACAATTAATAAGGTAATGAACTTTCTAATACATTATCTATATAGCATTTAAACAAAAACCTACTGAAAAATATCCATTTTCAATTACATTATGGAAGAATAAATAATGACACAGAAAATACCTTATAAACCACAATTTTAAAAGAATTAGATGTCTAAATTGCTTGGCATATTTATTCATTTCAACATTACAATTTCAACTTGCATAATATTTGAAATCACAAATCCTCATTCTTCCTTTAACATAGACTGTCCCCATAATAATAAACTCTGAAACAATATTTTATCTGCAAATAAACATTTGTTGAAAGAACCCCAAACATGAAAATAAGGAAATTTATATGCAAAAAGGTGAAAATAATTTTTCTATTATTGCTCAGTTACTTATTCCTTCAACATTTATTGAGCATCTAGAACGTGTCAGGCCCTGTGCCCAGTGCTGAGGGATACAAAGTGGAATAAAACACTGTCCCTGCCCTTGTGTAGACAAGTAAAGCCACTTACATACAATAGGGCTGATAACTATTAGGGACCAAAAAGGAACATCAGGCTTTAAAGATTAAAGAAAGCAACACGTGAGTTGCGTTCTGAATTACGAACAACAGAAGGAAAGAGAGGAGACGAGATATTCGATTCCGGGCTGAGGGGGTAGTGGGCGTAGAGGCCGAGGTGGTGTGCCATGGCTCAGAAGGAATACAGATCCAGGAGCCAGAAGCCTCATTTCCTCTTTTTCTTTTAGATCATGGAGTCCCTCATAATAGAACATTTTTTAATTCCAACAACTATAATGCCAATCTACGCTGCCTCAGGCACTTCCATGCTTAAATGTTTTATACTCCTCCAATTTATTTAGAAAACAATGATTTTACATTGTAGTTTTCTCAAGTTTATTACTTTGACTTTATAATAACTGCAAGTCAGTGACTCTATTTGTTTTGCCCTCCAAAAAGCATACCTAACATGCAAGTTAGAGGAAAGGAAAAGCTTACCAATCATGTTATCTAAGGAAAGGTCTGGGAGTTTATTCTGTAACACTCCCACAGGAATTCCACAGAAAGACACTGGTGAATACAAAGGCGACACTCCAGAACTACTGCAAAGACACAGTAATTAGATGGTTTTACATATTTGAAACCTGCCTTATAGGTTAGTAACTCAAACTATTAATTCCAGATCATGGCATCCTATCTATTTTTACAGTATTTGTTAATCTTACCCAAAGATAAAATAGGTTACATAATTCTCTAATAACCTAAAGCCTTAATTATCATTTTAAAAATGTTTTTATAGAAAAAAGTCCCTGTTATTTTTACATGCTTCTGGTAATTACAAAAAAGAAGGGGAAAAAAAAAAAAAAAAAAACACAAAGAGATCCTAACGATTCACTTACCTGTTCCGGGAACCGCGGTTACAAACAGTGGACTTCAGTTCCCATATCATGACCCTCCCGTCACTCACTATGAGGGCAGCTGCGTTCTCATTGACAGGACAGCACACCATGCTGAACGGACGAACAGTTTTTGTCACCCTGATTGCATCACACTGGCTTCGTAAGTCATAGGTCAGCTCCTGGACGGGATCTGGATCTTGACATAAAATTGTTTTCTTTCAAGTATCAGAAAGCAACCACATCAATATCACTACTATCTGTTTCAATTTAAATAAAACCTCAAATTAAAAAAAAAAAAAAAATCCTTCACTAATGCAAAATCTGTCAAGAATGACTTCACTTTTTACAATTATTACTAATTTCTTCAGAATACAAAGAGAACTCACTCAACAACTGTACGCATGAAGTTTAATCTCCCAAATAACAACTATGATCAAGATGGCTTGTTTTGAGTATTTTTAAAATGAAGAAAACGCTTTAAAAACGGATCAAGAGTGATACACAATTATACAAAGTACATCGCATTATACCAGAAAACCAAACCCGCTGCCATCGAGTCGATTCCGACTCACAGCGACCCTACAGGACAGAGTAGAACCGCCCCATAGGGTTTCCAAGGAGCACCTGGGGGATTCAAATTGCCGACCTTTTGGTTAGCAGACGTAGCTCTTAATCACTGAGCCACCAGGGTTTCCAGCGCACTACAGACCATCATAATTTGCAGCAGTCTATGATAAACCTAAAAATAACTGTCCTTCATAAAAGCTGTGAAAATTACCTTTACCTTTACATAGTACATCATTTCACAAAAACATTATTTCTATCCTCCAGGATAAGATAGTAACTGATAACAGAATGCCTTGGAGATTTACTAATCTATGTCACTTTACAATGGAAACTCCAAAAGCAGAGGGGGGAAGCCAAGAGGGTGTAACGATAAAGATATATAAGGTTGGACTTGTGCTGAAGAGTAATTTGAAAAAAAGTAACAGCCATTTGGCCCTTGGACAAACAGTCAAGAAGGAATCACAAAATATCACTTTCTTTGTTGTATATAGGAGATACATTGTTATAAGACCAAAAAATTAAAGAAGTCTTGGGCTTGTACTTTTTTATTCCTTTTATTGAAACCATTTCCTAACACTTTCTCAAGGCTAGCATAATCATTAAGTCTGTGGATTGGCTGGCATTTGCCACATGAAGCTTTATAAAAGAATTCCAAAGAAAAATGTAATTAATAATATTGTGAACTCACCCAGCTCCTCATCTGAAGTGCTGCAAATACTATTATAAGATCTTCGAACACGTAAGGTTACACAACCATTTTCATGTAGGCAAAATAAACCGTCACGCTGAAAGCAGGGTATTACCTTAAAAATAGATGTATTTGTTTTTAAAAACATAATACATTAATAGAGTATATATGCTGTGATACTCATGAACTCATAGTTAGAGAACATGGGCAAAAAAAAAAAAAGCACAATACTAAATGAACATTTAAAAAATTTATATGTAATCCAAAACTTCATCTTTATTGATGTAACTTAAATAGCTCAGTAAATATCTCTAGATCAGTCAAAAGAATTTTTAGGGCAAACCAAACTGATCAAAAGTACATAAAAATAAGGAATATAAAATGATATAGTAGAAAATAGAAAGTAGAATGGGGACTTTTACAAGATTAGGGTTTATCTCTAATAAGAACTGAGTCAAAATCAACTTTTGGGAATGTAATTTATAAACTGCAGGTACCTGTAGAAATGGAACTCCTGTTCGCTCTATTGCAATCACACCCACTGTCTGATTCACCTCAAGGTCAAGGATTAAAATTTCTCGAGGATAGAGTAACAACATGTGATCTCTCTTGGAAGGCAGATATGCCAACTGAAGGCAATCATTGAGAGTTATGAATTCAGCACTGAAAAAAGTAAACATTTACTTAGGCATCGTGAAATGAGTCAAAGACATCATTCACATCAGAAACAGCTAATAAAGCATTTAATTTTGTACTTTCCACATAAAAACTGTCAATGAGAAGGTACAACTACTTTCTGAAATGGCCAATACGGGCTAGCATCCAAAACTTAGACTGCCACTACCTGCCAAAATCCAAATTATAACGAAAATATTGTATACACTGGGTATAGACTTCAGTGTTCCGTATTTCTGAAAAATTTCAAGTGAAGCAGTAAGAGTGTTGTTATGTCTGTGGTACGAGATGGTAACAAGTACTATACTGGCACTCAAAGGGTAGTGGTTTCATTTTATTTTTTGTTTTGCAATTAAAAGTACTAGACAGACTGCTAGACTGCTAAAATGGGGACTCAGGATTAAAACAAAACATTCAGGTATTTAGGCCGCTGGACTATGAGCCAGCTATGCTAACTATCTGTATGGCCTCGAGCTAGTCACTGCCCCTCCTTTGACTGCAGTTTCCTCAACTAGAAATTGAAGGGGCACACTACACCATCTCTATCTAGGATCAGTTCCTGATCCATGAATGCAAATGGTGCTTCTACTCTACCTTCATTCATTCTTAAACTGTGGTGAAATCTGTTTTGAAACAAAGTAGTGTATTTATTCACCTATATCACAGCATTTCCTTCAGAGCAAATAAAACTGATGCAACTAGAGGATCACAAAAGACTCAAAGAACCTCAAAAAACCATTTTGTTATTTGTGATTAATGCTTATATATAACCACAACGATTTTTATGTTAAGTATCTATCAATAGGAATAGACATAATAATCATGCGCTATTTTCTTTTTATATAATAAGTTTATTAAAGGTTTTGAAATTTAAAAATAAATTTAGAGGACTAGAAAGAGAGGGATTTGAATTGCATTAAAATCCTGGCCCTGCCACTTCCAAGTCAGAGGAACTGGAGTAACACATTTAAAACTATATGGGGACTCGGTTTCCTCATCTGCAAAATGGGAAAAGTATTACTACCCAAGCTTGTAGGAAGATCACATTTAATAATGTAAGTGAAAGCACCCAGAGCAGTTCTAATTGAAAGGATAAACAATTTATTTTCTAAATACTCAAGATGCACGTATGATTCATATGAGAGAAAACATGACATACATAAATTATAACATAAAACTATTTATACTGAAAAATTATTTATTTATGATAGGAAATCAATGAAAATTAATTAGAAAGTTCTCTTAAGATATTCAAGGAGGAATTTTAAACCATTTTGGCATAGGATAGAGAATAAATCAGTGTTTTTAAACAGCCTATGATTCAATATACAAAAGTATATTTACACAAATTCAGAATGCATTTGTAAAGCAATTTATATTTTTATCATACATTTTCCAGACAGTTACACACAAAATCTACATATAATCATCTAATTTTAGTATCACAAATCAAATCTTAGCATATTAAAAAGAGAGACTTTAAAAACAAAGGCCAAAAGACCAGCCAGAGCAATAAAAATAAGAAATCTATTACTAATGTATACAATCAATCACTTTTAACATAATTTTATTCAGTAGCAATTTCTTAAATAATAGCCAGCATTTACTAAATAAATGCTTACTAAGTATCAGCTACTATTTTAAATACGTAAGTTACTATATTTATTAATCCTCACAGCATCCTATGAAATGCCTTAAAACCCTATTTTAAAGATTAGAAGAGAGAAATTGGAGCAAGATAAAGGAAATTTCTCAGTCATATAGCTAGGGCTTCCCCCAGAACCCTGGTCCTTAACCAGGATGGCAAACACATTCACCTGCGTAAGAAAAACATCCATATTTCACCGGTTAATGAGACTACACCACATCTAAGTCAGGAAGATGTATCAAAAATGAAAATTCAGCTGTTGTCTCAAAAAAAATATAGTGTATTCAATAACCTCAACATTAGAATCTTCATCTCATATTATCAGAAATAAAAATCGGAAGTCTAAAATTTTACTCTATAAAAATCAGTGCAGGCAGCTCTGCACAACTAGCGGAAACAGAAATCACGTTAAATACTGAATCTCTTCCACTTAGCAGGCTACGAAGAATATTTTTTCTTTCATAAATCCAAAATTAGAAATGAGAAACGGCACGATGAAGAAGAAACCAATCTTAATACATCTCTAAAAAAGGATATTATCGTATCTGGTAAACTGAGGAATGCTGGTCTTCATTTTACACTTATAACTTACCTAGGTTTCTCTTGAGTGATTAAAATTTTTACTTTATTAAGTGCTTTTTGAGCACCTGTGGCTGCAGCCAGCTTGTTATGAGCTGGGCTGGAGTGTGGGCTGGATATGTACACTTTTTTCCCAGGGCCAGAGGGAGGCTTGGATGGAGAGAAGTCGGAGATGAACACAATACCCTCACTGGTGAGCACTAGATTGAGAGAAACAAAACTCTGATTAAAGTTTCATCGAGTTTAGCATAGAGTTTTATTCAATACAATTTTGAGAGCAAGGTAATGATAATTTTAATATAGAGCTGGCGGCATTCTGCAGCCCAAGCATGGTGGCAATGTTTTCCAAGTTGAACAGAAACAGGTGGTCCATTACAGCTCATCAGAGGCCTCCAAGCTCAGCATCCTAAATTACTGTTTTATATTAAAAAGATACCAGAGGTTATTGGCAGAACAAACAAATGTTTGTTCTTCCAAATAAACTCAGTACACAAACTTTCATTAAAAACCTCTTCTCATTGCATCCCATAACTTCAAATTTCAATGACTTTTCATAATAACAAATCTACGGAGGAAAAAGGCCCACATGAGGCTCTACATATTACAGTCAGCTAAGTTCAAATATTTGATTTGTGCTACTAAAGTCTTTATGATTATCATGAGCTACTAAGTCTAGATACATTTCCTTTTTCTTCATAAGCATCAGATTAAATCCCAGAATGTTTAAGAGTGTCCTTTTCCATTTACATTTAGGGGAAAAAAAGTAAGAGTGCAACAATGGCTTGCTAAGTCTAACAAAAATACTCAAGGAAGGCGGCACCACATTTAGCAATACGTATTATTTCTTTTCACGAGTGAAGCTCTATGAAGGCAGGAATCCTTGTCTTGGTTCACTGGTAGATCCCAGGGCCCCAGAACAGGGTCTGACACGTAGTCTAAGAGCTCAAGAACCATCTGCCAGATGATTGAATAAACGAGATTGTCCTAAATAATTTAGCCACAAAAACATCTTTCTAAAAGAAGTCTAGTTTTTAGATTGGTGGCTCAGTATAATATCAAAAACACATCGGCAAAAACAACTTCCACAAGAAAAAAATCCCTTTGGGCTTATTCTGTTCCTTACATGCATCTGTTTATGGCACTCAACTAATGGTATAAATTAGAATAATTTTTTTAAAAAGGAAGAACTTAATTTGGACACCGACTAAATAAAACCCTTAACTCAAGTTCTTTAAGTGTTCCAAGAAAAACAAATTTAATTATGTCTGAATTACAGTGTCACAGCAACTCTCTCTCCCTGGCTAGTCTAATTCTATTCACAAATTGAACACAGTGAAGGTGAGGTTTGCTGACTTAAATTTCTAACTATCAAAATACTTACGAATGGTATGGGCTATGATTTAGTATCTGTTTCAGGAGCTACAGATACATGGACTAGATGTGCTTCTCCATGTTGCTCAGTCATTTTAAGGTGTTAGGTATATAACGAACATATAGGTATCTTATGTATTCAACATTAACTATATTATAAATGCCTCACTTATTTTACATTGGCAAATACTACTCACATGTTAAGTGTGAGGGATCAAAAGGGTCAAAAGAAAAAGAAAGAATGTTATCTGCATAGCTCTTCTTCCAAAGTTTGGTGCCAGTGTCTGCATTCCACAGCACAATGTAATTTGGAGGGTGGATAGCAAGCAGTAAATCCCGGGAAGCATCTTGATTCCACAACCACTGCACATCTGCAAAGACCAAGCAAATAAAGGTAAAATTCAGAAACTATCCACTTGAAAACACACTTTGCTAACCTGCCCTTAATATTTAGTTTTTTAAAAAATATAGTCCTTAAAATCTTAATCCCTCCAAAATATGACACGTGTGTCTGCCTGTCTGTGAGAATACTGTACCGAAAAAGTTAATTTTATATAAAAATAAGCTGTCTGGTTAAAATGTCAAGTTTGAAATTTTCTAGCAATTTGAAATACGATCTCAAATATAAAAGCAATTGGCATTAATAATTACTTAAAACTTTATAAAATCAACACATAAAAGGCTCTCCTAGCAAGGCTTCTGTGGCATTACTTACTGGGACTTTGCAGTTTTCTTCATGATTTTTCATAACAACACACTAGATAAAGATCTAGTTCAGTACCTGGCACATATTAAGTACTCAGTAAATATTTTTTAAATGACTGAGGAAAACCCTTGAGTCTAAAGAATACTGTAGTGGTTTTAGGTGAGTGCCATAAATAAATAAACACACAGAGTAACCACCTATGTAAAAATGAGAATAAAATTCTGATCATCTCTGTGAATGGAAATAAGCACCAAGGGTTAATTGAAATTAGCAGCTCAGCCAAGTTTACTTATATTATAGCCTGGATTACAAGACAGTTTGCAGCAGCTTAGTTTGCCTCATGATGCAACCTGACAGAGGCGGATGCTGATATTGACGTGTGCTGTCAAAGCACCAATGAGCTGGGATCTTAGGAATTACGACAGGAAGTGCACCAACAAGGAAAAGGAAGCCAGATTCAGATTAGAAGAACAGTCTCAACACAATCATCAAGAGCTGACTGGGAAGTGATGAAATCAAAAGGAATAAAAACTGACAGACTCTCCGTGAGTAAGTGAATGGACCCAAGCACTGAGCAGAGCAGACTTTCCTCACCCTGGATAGGTTTCACGTGCTCCTGGATCTCACACTGAGCTACTCCCGCTGCTACATCCCACACGATGATCTTCCCATTGACGTCGGCGGAAGCTAAGCGCAAGGTATAGGGTGAGCCACTGTTATGGTGATAATTTTCCCTGGCCCATTTAACCTAGTAACAAGAAGAAATCAAATCAAGTAAATACTTGCAGTGGATGAAACGAAACACAATTTTTGCAAAACAACCAGAACCTAAAAATTACATTTACATTATAAGAATATTATTTAGTAAGAATAAACAGGAAACTGGTTTCCATCTTGAAAGTTATACATTTTTATTATTTATATTTTTTAAGTTGTAGTTAAAATATATTTTTTAAAACACCACAGTGTTCTTGCCTTTAAAATATAAAAAATGATGCCAAGCTTTAATCACTTAGGAAACTCAAGTTAAAAGCTCCAGACTACCATGGAAATTCATTTTCCTAAAATTTAATTATGATACCAAAAAATCAAACCTGCTGCCATCAAGTGGATTCCGACTCACAGTGACCCTTCAGGACAGAGCAGAACTACCCCACAGGGTTTCCAAGGAGTGGCTGTTGGATTCGAACTGCCAACCTATTGGTTAGCAGCCGAGCTCTTAACCACTGTGTCACCAGGGTTCCTTAATTATGACAAAACACCTAAACTCCTAAAATTGCTAAAGAAAATGTTTTTCTGTATTCTGTTTCCAACTAAGAGAAAACGACCTATAGATAGAAAAAACTTTGCTGGGGGAAAATTACAGAAAAAAAGACACACATACAAACAGCATTCTGGTTATTTTTCGTTTACAAAATTGGAAAAAATGCCAGTTTTTTTCTTTAAAAAAAACCTGTATCCCTTCATACCTCTAAAAAAAGTCACAAGAATAGAATCTGTAGAACACAGGAATTCTAGGACACTGGGACCTGGTTAAATTCCTGAGCAACGAACACTGACAGAGTAAAGACAAAAGTACACAGCCCTTACCATAAGCCAGGGCCTTGCTGGCCATTCTAAGGAAGGTTGCCACCTCCTGCCACTCTATCTCAGCACCTGGCTTGTTTTCTTCAAAGCATTCACCACACAATTTGTAATTAATCAAAAACCTATCACCAACCCACAGACTAAGCTCCACAGGGCAGGATGTTGTAGGCTTTGTTTACATTTCTATTCCCAGATCTTAGATGGTGCCCAAAGCTGGTGTTCAACAAATATGTGTTTAATAAATGAACTTAAATGCCAGAAAGACTCAAATATATATTATATATATATATACACACACACACACATATATACGTATGTGTGTGTATACACACACATATATAAACATACACATATACATGCACACACACACGTAATGCTAAGGTAGGAAAGTAATCTAACCAATTGCGATAAGTAATCATGAAAAAGAGAAACAAGAACATTTTCTGAACTTCAGTGTTAATAAGCCTACGGTTTTACTGTGTAATAAATACATCTTTTATTCAGACCAAAAAAAAATTTAACGAAATATGCGTATACATATATGTGCATATGTATACATACATGTATATGCTTGAATATGTATGTGTGTATATGTATATATTTTTGATGTGTGTGTGTATGTATGTATAGTCCCTGAATTACATTTAGGTAAACAACCAAAAGGTATATGTTAAAAAATAAATAAATAATAAAAACCTAGACACATCATTGTCAACTCCTGAAAACCAATGGCAAGGAGACAATCTTGAAGTTAGTCACAGAGAAAAAGACACACTGCATACAAAGAAACAAAGACAAGAATTAGAGCACTGTTCCCATGAGAAGTTAAGCAAGCTGGAAGACAGCAGAATGACATCTGTAAAGTACTGAAAGGAAAAAAAAAAAAAAGTCAACCCAGACTTCTGTACCCAGTGAAAATATCTGTCAAAAACAAGGTGAAATAAAGATTTTTCTCAGACCAAAGCTGAGAATCAACCAACATGAGATGTGCACTTCAAGAATTTAAAGAAGGTTCTTTAGGCAAAGGAAATATAATACTAAGTTGAAACTTGGATCTATACAAAGAAACGAAAGCTCTAGAAATGGCTTTACAAAAAGTTAAACATAAAACGTAATGTCACATTTAATGGTGAAGACCAAATGCCTTCCCCATAAGATCGGGAAAAGGCAAGGATATCCTCTCACCACTCCTATGAAACACTGTCCTAGTCAGTGTAACACAGCAAGGAAAAGAAAGAAAAGACATACAGACTATAAATGAAAAATTGTCTTTATTTGCAGATGACATGATTGTCTATGTAAAAAAACTCCAAGAATCTACAAAAAATACTACTAGATCTAATAAGTGAGTTCAGCAAGATTACAATATACAGGTCAATATACAAAAATCAACTGTAGTTTTCCCTACCTCACACCATACACAAAAATTAACTTAAAATGGATCAAAGATAATAAATGTAAGAGCTAAAATTATACCACTCAGAAAAGATGCTCAACATCACTAGCCATCAAGGAAATGAAAACCTAAACTACAATGAGATACCACTTCACACCCACTAGGATGGCTATCATCAACTAACGGAAAATAACAAATGTTGTCTATGACTTGGCGACGTTGGAACCCTTGTATGATGCTGGTAAGAATGTCAAATGCTGTAGCCACCTTGGAAAACAGTCTGGTGATTCCCTAAACGGTTAAACCAAGAATCACCATATGACCCAGCAACTCTACTTCTAGGAATATATCTATAATAATCTCTAAAAGAAATAAACACATATCCCCACAAAAATGTGTACAAAAATGTCCATCACAACATTATTCATAATAGCCAAAAAGTGGAAAATATCTAAATGACCATTAAGAAACAAAATGCAGTATATCCATACAATGGAATGTTATTCGGTCATAAAAAGGAAGTGAACTACTGACACGTGCTACAACATGGATGAACCTTGAAAGTGTGCTAAGTGAAAGAGCCAGTCACATGAAATTATATGAAATTGATATGAAATGTAAGGAACAGGGAAAAGAATCTACAAAGACAAAAAGTGGTTAGTGGTTGCCTAGGAGTAGGGAGGATGGGGTGACTGCAAGACACAGGGTTTCTTTAGGGGGTGATGAAAATGTTCTAAAGTTGATTGTGGTGACGGCTGTACAACTCTGTGAATATACTAAAAAACGCTGAATTGTACACTTTAAATGGTGAATTTTATGGTACAAATTATATCTCAATGAAGCTGTCACAACTCCACCTCTCCCAAATAACATGACCCCAAATCTCTCTCTCCAAACTTGATCCTAAACTTCAGATGACTGTAATTCAATTTCCCCAGGCATCTCAGACTCAGCTTGTTGAAAACTTAAACTCACTGACTGAATTCACACCTACCTAACCATAGGGGCAACCATAAACCCTGGAGTCATTCCATTCTTTGACTCTTCCTTAAATTGATCACTATGGGCTATCAAGTTTACCTCCTAGGAAGTTCCTAAATAACCCTCCTTCATGCCTCCACCTTATTTCCTGCCAATTTGGCAGCAAAATTTCCTGCCAAAATTACTGCAAAGCCTCCTGAATGAACTCACTGCCTCAGTCTTGCCTTTCTCCAACACATCCTCTCTGCTGCAGACTGCTTGTCTTCTAAAACGCAAATATGGTCCTATCAGTCTCCTACTTAACAATCCAAACTCCTTCCGAGTGGGGATAGGCGAATCTCTCTGGCTGCCTCTTTTACCACTCCTTCAAATGCATCCCATCTGTCATGGTTTGAATTATGTCCCCCAAAAAACGTGTGTATCAATTTGGCTGGGCCATGATTCCCAGAACTGTGTGGTTGGCCTCCATTTTGTGATTGTAATTTTATGTTAAAGAGGATTAGGGTGGGATTGTAACACACCTTTACCCAGGTCACATCCCTGATCCAAT